AAAGCGCTTTTAAACTAAGCCATAATTTACTTTTATTGATAGTTTATAATGAAAAAAAATTTAATTTTGATTTTTTTAGTTATATAAAGTTAAATATATTAAGAATTATTACAAATAACAATTTAATCAATGATATAGAATAGTCTTTTATTCTTTAAATGTAAATCTTTTTAAAATGTTTGTACAATTGATTTTATAAAAACATTACTCTCAACAACAACTGTGTGTGTCAATAAAATTTAAAAACAATGTTCATCAAAGTTAATAAAATTAATAATCAAATGAACATTACAGGTGACTGAACATAAACATATATATATATACATTATGAATTAGGAGTAGATGAACACCCTTAAAGGGTTGAATAAAATATAAACATGCATGTAAATCAGCACCGTGTCAGCAGTTTATGCAGAACAAGAACATACAAATATATTAAAAAGCCTACTCACTAAATACATCAGCAGTATTGTGAAGCAGTTTGGCTTTTTCTTCATAAATATATTTTACCTTTTTAGTTTAACCATTTAAGTTTTTAATGAAAACGTGCTTTTAGTTTGCAAAAGAAAAAATAAAATCATAACTTAGAATATACATTATAGTAAAATAAACCAATGGACTTAAGTAAAATATAAAGTTATTAAATATATACATAGTGTTCAGTTTAGAAACTGATCATTATAAAAGGTCTGGTGCATTGCGGAATTTTTTTAAACATAAAGACACTGCTAAAAGAAAAGGTTATAATATTTTAATAGTAACACAATGATTCAACTATTTTTTTTTGTGTGTTAATCTTACTTAAGAAAAATTGTTTTAAATATTTTAAACTTATATATTGCAAACTACCCAAAGCATGAAATGGTTATAAAAATATATTTACTTTTTTATTTATTATATAATTCAATTACCATTAGTTTTATTAGAATCTTGATGAAATAAAACATAAATACTTAAACAAAGAATTATATTTTGAAAGTTTCGATGAATTAAAAAACGTTTGTTCTTTTATTAAACAATCATTAATAGTAAGTTTTTACTTTTTATAAAAGTATCGCTTAATTTTATAAAAAAAATTATAAAAGAGAGAAGTTAAGAAATAATTTATTCTAAATATCATTTATTTTGTTTTAGTTAAGTTTCTTTCTTTGTTAAGAATTAATTTCTTTTTTTAGTTGATTTTTTTAGTAGTTATCTCCTCGCAAGTTTTTGAAATGTTCTCAAAACATCTAGCTTCCTGACCAAGCCTGGAGATGCATGCCATTTTATTTTCTATTTTTCTACAATGTTTGGTACACAATGTATAAATGTATAAACTTATTAGTATACTTAGTATGGTCTAATAATGAGAGGACTTTTCATAATGTATATATGTATGTTTATGTTCAGTCACATGTAATGTTCATTTGATTATTAATTATTTAAAAACTTTAGCATATAAAATTTGCCAAATGGTCACACACGAGCAGTGAATGCCTGAGCGAAGAAATGAAGTACATTAGAATAAAGGAGAATTATTTATTAGACAAAGCATATTTTGACAGTTGTCAAGACGAAAATAAAGATTAATATTTATTTAATTATTATAAAGAGGAATATTTACAAATAAATAAGACAGGCTATACACCCACAACAATAATAACAATAAAAAAATAAAAAAATAAACACCAATATGAATGAAGATATACATCACCAAACAAAAACTTATAAAACAAAAAACGGATCACAAAATAAAAAATATGATAGCAACAATGAAAGGCATTTAATAATGGAAAAAAAACATTAATGCTAATGTGTAAACATAATTTGTGTAGTGATTAAGTAATAAACATCTCAGAGTCGTGTCTATTATTACTGGTGTTTCGATGAGGATCAGCATTTATAACTAGTTTATCCCATGAGACAAACGTCATTGCCACTTATGTTTTACCCCGCGACTGTATAAATGTATAAACTTATTAGTATACTTAGTATGGTCTAATAATGAGAAACTGAGAGGATAACTAACTTTCCCAATGAAATTACTTTATTTATATACATTCTCAGCGCTAATAGTTTCATCTGGGAAAGGGCTATTTATTTCATTAACATTTTTACTGTTAAAAAGTCAATAAGTACTTCCTTTTGTTCAGGAGCTACAGCTTCCACAATCTTTTTTTTTAATAAGTATTTAAGTAAACATACTTGCATTTCAACTTATTCTTAGTAGTATCTTCCAGATATTCGAACTTCCTTTTTAATCTATATTTTATTAGAATTGCATTAATAACCTCAGTTACACACTCACGGTTTCTAAGGGATTCGTCCAAAATCTCTTGTGAAACATTAATTTCACCAGAGTCAAGTTCTTTATCTGGAGTAGCAGGTGTCATAATTGTTTGTTCTTTTGTGTTTGTATTTTTTTACACCAACTTATGTGTTTTCATCGACACTAGATAAAGCAATTTCTTGTTTTAAATGAGTAAAACACAGCATTGCACTAACTAAAAATACTTCATTGTATCACTTTAATATTAATAAAACAACATGTATTGGTGACGCCTTTTTAAGCGGGAGATTTTTTTCTTTATATATTTAGATAGTGAGGATGAAAGAATGTTTTTGAAGGACTCTGTCCATCACCAAAGGTATACCAGTGAAAAAACATATTTGTTCATCCTTTTCAAGACTTTTTTTAAACCTATTTTCAATAAGTCTATTCTCTTCCCAAACATTATTATCGTTGGATCGCATGACATAAAAACAATTTTTTAAACAAATATTAGGTGTGTCATTTTAAGCATTGTTTATAATCTGATTCTATTCACAAAAAATGTTCACAAGTTGGAAATATATTGTTGTTATTATTAAAAAAATATATTGCAAGAGTGTGATTAATTTAGTGATTATTTATCAAAAGAGTGAGGAATTAATTAAAAGAGACATTTTTCTTTCTTCAAAGAGCTTTGTCTCATAATCTTACTGCGGAGTAGTTATAAAGTATGTAAATATAAAAATTATATTACAGACTACGTATATTTAAAACACATAATTACCTTTAAGTTGATGAGGTGTTTCTTGACATCAACATCTCCCAGCTGATGAATGTAGTACATGTTATTTATAGTTTTATGTTTTTTGAATGATCCACAATTTCCTTTTGAAAACCAACAACAGTTTTCATAAAAAATTTTGTTTTGTTCCATACTCAACTAAAAACATTGTTTTATTTATGCAGCCCCTATTTCTCAATAACAATGATAAAATATCTACTTTATTTATGCAAATTTTAAAGATTATTAAGATAAAGTTAAGATATTTTAATGTAAAATTAATTGTTTTATGACAACCGCCTGCTAACTAGTTTTTCCATAATCATGATATTAGAGATTCTTCGTTTCGTTCAATTACCACAAGTTATTTGCTTATGGCATAAATTTAAATAATTGTATTTTATTAATATTTATTTCAATTGTTATGATTTCTATATCATAGTCAGAAATGCTTAAATTTTTTCCTAAGATTATGTGCAATGTTTTCTAAATGCATATTTTGGAAGATAGAAATTTTATTGTGCTGCTGAGTGAAAAATGACCCGAATCCTTCATCTGTGCGTCCCAGAAAATATCTCTTTAATATCTAAAGATCATATGAGTTTTTACTCCATAGGAGATGAACTACCAAACTGAAAAAATTATCTGTTTAGTAGATGCTCCTTTTCTAACCAATGGTTGTAGCAATTACTCATTATCCGAAGAAGACTATAATACAGGCATATCACTGTTCTTAAAGAAACTTACTGCAGCAGAGTAAAATATATGTGTGCTGTGGTGGATAATTTGTTTCATGTGTGTAAATGACTCTATTTCTGAATGAACAACTAATTTTTAAATGGCAATACATTTAAATGTTTGATTTATGTTTCATTTAATTAGCAATATAGTTTTCTTGTTAATCGATTATTGTTCAGTTTTTAAATATGTTATATCATGTGTGTGACAAAATCGCACAAGTTTATTTTTTAATTATGTTAGGGTCATGTTATATTGACAATTTACATGATTATATTTTTACAAAACTTAGGGCCTCTGCCGTAATGGGTCATTTTGTAAGAAAACATAACATTTTTTTTCAATTTCAAGGCTTAATATATGAATAGCCCTTAGGTATCACATAATTTTCTTTGCATTTTTAGACTCAATACCTTTGATGCTTACAAATCCTGAAAAAAAAAATTATAATCAACACTTTGCCGTTAGAAATAACTCCTATTAAAAATTGACAAAACTGAATGTTTTTGTACTTTTGAACTACGATAATTAGCCAACCACACAGGGTCACGCAACTTTTTTATATTTTTCGGAGGGAGCTTTTGGGTTATGACTGATATTAACTACAAAAGTTATGTGCAACTTTTTGCCTTGTCAAAAAAATGGATTCAAAAGTGGCAAAAACTAAATTTTTAAAAGTTTTTCAAAAAATATCAAAATTTTAAACCCAGATTCCAAGTGAATGAAACAGTTTTGGAAACTTTTTTTTCCCCAACAGGTTTTCTCTATATTCTGATCAATATATGAAAATATTGAAGCAATTTGGAAAGGATCACTTTGACTGACTGTTTGATTCTTACAAAAAATGGTTCTTAAGTTATGAAGTTGTCTAATTTTACCATTCAAAAATTGAGGGAACATGGTATAGTGTTGCTAAGTTTATAAATTCTGAACTGTTGTATTTGGAAGTCTAATATTGCAAACTTTATCCATTCATATAATAAAGTTATAACATGAAAAAACAAGTCAGAGTTGATTTCCCACCAAACTTCTTTAAAATTAGTTGAAGTATAATGAACTGACCTATACCTCTTCAAAAATTGCATGTAATTTTTTTGAACTTAGTTCTATTCCAAATGCTGCAAGCAAATAAATTATTAGCATGTTGTTTTAAAATTCATACAATTTGTTATTTTTTATTTTATGCAATTACAAATTGTGTGTTTACTGAAACAATTTTTAAAATTTTAGAGATCTCAGTTAATCAAACATCATACAAACAAGAAATAAGTTCTGGTTATACTGATTTTGACTTGACAACTAACACTCAATATACAGTTGGACAAAATTACACGGCAAGTTGTTTAATTATGATTTTAGGTTTTTGTTTTTTTTAATGTAATTTATGAATATTGTGTTTATATTTCAAAATGCAAAAGTCTACATGATTGTGTTATTATTTTCTTTTAAATTTTTTACTAGTACATAACAAAAATTGTTAATTAAATATATTTATATATTTAATTTAATGTATATTGTATACACATTAAATTAAATATAATATATATGTATATTTAATTTAATGTATATTTTATATATATATATATATATATATATATATATATATATATATATATATATATATATATATATATATATATATATATATATATATATATATATATATTACTATTGTTGATAAAAATAGTTCTTCAAAATTATGTAAATCTAGGTCTTTAAAATTACATAAACCTAGGTCTTCAATCAATCAATTATATATTCTGAATAAGGATTGTAAATTCAAGGGTATTTACAAATAGTAAAATAATTAATGTTAAGTAAACACCCATAATTGTAATAATATATAATAAAGATACTAATAGTAATATTAAAATGTTATCTTGTTTTCACAAAAAAAAAAAGTAGCAATGACAAACTAACAAAATAGAACAACAACGATATTAATAACAACACTGATAACATTAGTAATAATAAAAACAATGATAGTGACAATAATATAATAACATGTTATTTTAACTATAGTAATAATATCAATAAAGTAATTATAATAATTTAAATAAAACGGTTTTACTTTCCATACAACAATTATACATACAAAGTTACAGTTACAAACAGTAATAAACTGACAAATCATAACAACTGATGTTTGCATAAAAATGACTGTTGCTAAAAAAAATGATAAAGGTTTAGTAAATATATCTCAAATGTTATTATATACAAACCTAAATATGTTATATACAAAACAAAGTTATAACAGACATTACAAACAAAACAAAAAGTTATGTAAAAATTTTATTTTTGGGAAAAAAAACAAAAGCGTAAGATTAAAAAAAAAAAAAATTAATTTTTTAAATAAAAATTTTTTAAATAAAATTTTTTTTTTTTAAAAACTAACACAGTAGAATAAAACAAATATAATAAATAGCTAAAATGAAAATAAACACAAATAAAGTATAACTGTATATAAAATTTTTTTATCAATATTAAAAAATAAATAATAACTAAAAAATAAAACAATAAATGACTAATAAAAAAAAATAAGTAAAAGCAAATATGTACCAAAAAACTGAAGGAAAAAAAATTATTTCTTCTAGACTGTATAACACCATAACTATATAAAGCTTACTAAAAATAAATCATAAATAAATAATACTAAGAAGATATGAAAAAATTAAAAAAATCTTGGTATGCCGATCTTTTTCTTATGCCTTTTGCCAATATTTTAGATGGTTTTTTTTTTCTTTCATTTTTATTCTTTTTATTTATTTCATTCATTAACTTTTTTTTTACTAATTTCTTTCAGATATTTTGTTTTCTTTTCTTCTTTTAAGATATTTATTTTTTCTTCTTTTTTAGTTAATTATATTTTTTGTTATATATAATATATTAATATTTTCTTTTTCTTTTTTCTTTTTTTATCTTTAAAAATTTTATTTCTAATCATTAGAAAAAAGTGTCCACCATTTGCGATGTCATTGTTAAGTACCAAAATTACTTAAATCTAGGTCATCAAAATTACATAAACTTAGGTCTTCTAAATTACATAAACCTAATTCTTTTAATTTAGATAAACTTAGGTCTTCTAAATTACATAAACCTAGCTAGGGTCAGGGTTCTTCTGAATTACATACACTTGGGTCTTCTAAATTACATAAACCTAGGTCTTCTAAATTACATAAACCCAGGTCTTCTAAAGTATATGAACCAAGGCCTTCAAAATGGTAAAACATAAGTCTTCAAAATTATATAAATCTAGGTCTTCAGAATTGCAAAACCTAGGTCTAAAATCTAGGTAATTTTTTTTTTAACTCGATTAAAGTCACCTATATAACAAAGTATCTGTTATTGAAAAATTGTATTCAAGTTAGGTCCTATAAATTATGCAAAAATTTTAAAAATAATAATAGTTTTACATTTTCTTAAAAGTTATATTAAATATTTATTATTTTTAAATTTTATTTTATTTTGTAAGTAAGTATTTTAAAAAAAAGTAGTTTAAAATTTTATTAGTTTTTTAAAAAATTACTTAAAGTAATTAGAAGTAAATTTAAAAATAATTAGAAGTCAAAAAATAGTATTTTTTGTATTTTTTTAATTAAAGTTTAATTTTAATTAATATTAAAGACTAAAATATCTAAAAGAAAACCTGGAAGAGGCAAACTAAAAATGAATTTCAAAAATTTATTTTTTCAAATTTATTTTTAGTTGGCAGTTTAAAATTTTTTTTTCGTTTAAATCAAGTATTACTAAAAAAAAATAAAAACTATTTAGCATCTAAAGTATTTTAAATGTTTCTATTTAAGATTTTAATAACGTTTGTCACCACTACATTGGATTCAATTTTGAGTAGTATATCTATGAATGTTGGTAAGTTTTTATTTTTTTATTTTTTTTACGCCTCTATTTTTATTTACTTTTTATTTTAAATGTTTAAAAATAAAATCACCTTAAACACTAAAAGTTACTTACACTTATGAACAGTTAAAATATAGATTAGATTAGATTAAAATTTATTAAAACAGTGATACATGTTCTAAAGGACAAGCAGGTCCATAAAATATAAAGGACTGACAATGTGCCCTACAATCACATAATACATATGCTAGATAATTTACAAAATATATATATTACGATTATATATTAGAACACAGTTATAAAAGAAAATCTTGTTTAATTTTATAGCTGTTGATATTTTTGGCATTAACAACATCAGACCGCAAATGTTTCCAAATATTAACAATCTTAAGTGAGAAAGAGTATTTACGGACATTGAGTCTACACTTTAGCTTGCATAATTTGATTTTGTGACCTCGAGTTTTAATATAGTTGTTTGTTGAAAAGAAATTTGATTTAATTAGGCAAACTAAATTGTTCTAAATTTTGTAACATGTAATTATGTTTTGCAGACAATATTTGAAATATGATTATTATAATTTAAGTAAGAATCCATGGTCACACCTCAATTTTTTGAGTTTGTGGACCAGGTTGAATTATGATCTCCTTTATGATAGTTGTAATCTTCAAAAAATAAAGTAGGTGCTATTCTATGAGTAAAACACTTATTATTGGCTACTTTTAACTGCCTTTTTTTTTGACCAGAGATTGTGACTGTAATCAGCATCCTTAAATGAACTATATAGCTTAATATCGTCAACATATAGCATTAGAGAGCAATTAAGATCTTTTACTATAGAGGGTAGATCATTTCTATATAACAAAAATAATGTGTGATCCAAAATGCTACTCTGTGGAACTCCACTAAGAATGCTGGTTGGATTGGATAGTGAATTTCCGACCAGAACCCTTTGATATCTGTTGGAAAGAAATGTTGATATCCAATAAAGGAGGTTATCTATTATACCGTACATTGCAATTTTTTTCAAAAGTTTTGAATGAGGTACACAGTCTAATGCTTTTTGAAAATCAATGAACACCACATCAGTTAAATAAGTTAATTAAATTGTTAATTAAATTTTTTAAAAAGTTAATTAATTTGCTAATGACTGAATAAATCTAAAGCTTTATTCAGTCATTAGTTGACTCTAGAAGATTTGTGCATCTAGATCTTTTTGATAAAAAGCTGTGTTAATTAGGTGTTATTAGACTATTTATATTATGATAATCAGCAATACTTGAACTAACAATACTATCCATTACACAACAGCTAGTGCATGTGAGGGAGGTAATTGTTAGCATCTGAAGTAGATCCTTTTTTAAAAATAGGGGACACTGAAGCATGAAGCCACTGTTTTGGTAATGAGCTTGACGTAAAACTTGATTCAAATATATACGAAAGTGGAATAGATATTATATGCGCTAACTGTTTTAAAAGTATATTTGGTATACTGTCAGGTCCAAATGATGTGCTAGGTTTTAGATTTTTTAGTTTTTGATAAACTATCTTTGCTTATCTAAAAAAATCCATCTTAATATATTCACTAACAAAAGTACCTGTTTTAGACAAATTTCTGTCATCTACCGTAAAAACACTTTCAAAGTGTTTGTTAAACACTTCAGCGATTTCAACATTGCTAGTAGTAAAGTTGTTTTTACTATTAGCAATTGGAGTTATTCTCTTTGACCAGTTTTAGCTCCACATTTTTGTGGTGTGTGTATATGACTTTTTTACATTTTGATACATATTGGATAAATGCCTTTTTTTGCTAGATGGTCTTAGGGAAATAGGGAGATGGTATTTGAAAGAACAAAATCAAGAAAATTATTTTCTCTATTGGGCTCCAGAACATATTGGTACATTCCAAGACTGTTTACTAAAGTTAAATAACGATTATGACATTTTTCATTTGGCAAAACATAGTTAACCCAATCAATTTTCGGTAAATTGAAATCTCCAACAATGATAAATTAAGGAACAGATTCACAGAGATTGGTAATTACTGATATCATTGATTCAAAATAAATCTAATATCAAGAGAATCATCAAGAAAATATCTGTGTCATTTTGTGTAATACTTACTATGGCAGATTTAATGTCATTTTTTCAGTACACCGCCACCAGTTTGTCCCCGGTCCTTAAAATAAATGGAATAATTTTTTAGACAGATCATGGAGTTTGCAGGTTTATCTTTGAAAAATAATTTATTTTTCACAACTTTTTTACATGTTAGTGTGCTGTTTTTTTTTTTTTAATTATATCAGTTTATTTTTAATTTGCTAATTGACTTTTATTAGAACTTGTGTGATTGTTAAACAATAAAAAATTAAAACAAGATTTATTGAAAAACAGTAAAAAATTAAAACAAAATTCATTGAAAAACAGTAGAAAAGTATTATAGTGTTATTTTATTTACTACTGTGATTTATTTATTAAACTATTATATGTGATAATAGTATTACAATTTTAAATGTAAAATACGTTTTAACATTAGATTCGTTGTTTTATTTTTAAAATTGAAATTTAATTAAGCTTTAAAACAATTTAGAAAAATATTTTGAGTAAGTTTAAAAATGTTTAAGGACAGAACAAATTAAAGAGAATTTTTAAAAAACAGAAACTGAACACTGGCCAGTATTGCTAGGGCTTTTTAAAAGTTAGGACTCATCAAAATTAAGTACAAAATGATAGAATCCTATTAGGTTTGTTATAAAAGCACTTAATTATACAGATGATTTGAACTTGATTTCATGGCTAATAGGCTAATTTTTATATGCTAAGACCAAGCATATGAAAAAAAAAGTTTTTATGAAAACGATTCTCAGTTATGTACAGAATTTAGTTAACATAGTTATTTTCATAATGCATGATAAAAATTGAAAAAAAGATTCGTTTAGAAAGTTGTCAAATTCATAAAAAAGTTAATACTAATTGTATAGAAAGTGGCAAATCAAGCTTCCAATTGCATTTCTTATAAGATTTGCTTCTAATTATAACAAACCTAACCTTAGTTTTTATTATATTTTTTAAAATTCTTTAAATTAAAAAAGTGCACTATTAGGAGACCTAGCTCAAATGTGGCAATAATGTTCCATACTTGGACAATAATAACTGATAATAAATTTATAAAGTAAATGAAAGTTAGAGATAAGAAAATATAAGTAAAAGATTTTATCAAAGTAAAAGTAAAAAAGTTTGTTAACATCTATTTAATAAGGTTAAAATGTCAAATATTTTTTATTTTTGAATTTTTTATACTTTTTACTTCAAGTTGTCACAAAAATTTTTAATGTATTTAACTTCATTTTTCCATTATTTTTATTATTTTTGATTCAACATCAACTTTGAATCTTTTAAAGTAAAAGTTGCAATCACCATTTTTGAAAATTTGAAAAGTTGCAATCACCATTTAAAAAACAAAATCTAAAGTAAATAATTATCTTTTTACAGCAAATGTATTGTTAAAACAATAAATCTAATTAGCATCACAGCAGCAATAAATTTGAATAGCATTAAAGCAATAATAAATGTAAACAGTATCATAGCAACAATATAAATCTGAATAGCATCATAGCAATAATAAATTTTAATAGCTTCATAGCAACAATAAATATGAATAGCATTGTTTTATTTGAGAACCATAAAACACCTTGTTCTTTATTTTTTGATAAAATTTCTTTTATTTTTATTAGTTGGCAACTGCAGCGAATGTCATTCATCTCTTACTTGTAATAAATTAACTAATGGAGTTAATTGTGTTTGTAACCAGAAATCATGCCCTGGTTCTCATACCCAGTGTATTGTTTCAAAAACTGATCAATTAACAAATCCATGTAGTTGTCAACTTGGTTTCATTGAAGATGTTTCTGGAAATTGTGTTGGTAAAAGATTTGAACATATTTGCTTTGAATTTAAAATTATTTATTGTTTTGTTTGTTTATTTAAGAAATTTGTAACTGATTATTAATAGATTTTCAGATAAACAATGATTGACTGACTAACTGACTGATTTTAATTATTTTACTTTGCTGACAATATTTTAGAACCTGGAAAGTAGGGCAGATATATTCCAGAAACTTGTGAAATAAAGATATATATATATATATATATATATATATATATATATATATATATATATATAAATATAAATATAAATATATATATATATATATATATATATATATATATATATATATATATATATATATATATATATATATATAAATATATATATATATATATATATATATATATATATATATATATATATATATATATATATATATTTATATATATCCAGAGTAACTTTAGCAGATGCTAATGTTGCAACGGATTTGATATAAGGTTTCCAAGAAAGATAAGAAGTAAGAGTTAATCCTAGAAGATGAAGGGTAGATGACTCATCAAGTATATTACCATTCATAAATATAGGAAAATCTAAATTATTGCAATAACGATTGGCTGAAAAACATTCAGTTTTATCTGAATTAAAGTTCACCAGCCACTGTGAGACCCATGCTGTAGCAGAAGTGAGATCCTTTTCAAGCTCAAATGCCCCCTCCAAGTAATTAGAGAGAGTTGGCTTCTTATCATGACACAAATAAATGGTAGTATCATCAGCAAACAATGCCACCTTAGATGTGAGAATATCTTGAAGATCGTTAATGTAAATTAAAAAGAGTATAGAGCCAAGGATTGAACCTTGAGGAACCCCTGAGGTTGCAGAATAAGAAGAAGAGTGCTGTCTATTAAGGACAACTTTTACACTATGATTGGGAAGGAAGGATTCAATAGTTTTAAAGATGTTTTCAGATACACCGTAAGTTGATAGCTTATGGAGAAGACCAGCATGCCAAACTTTATCAAACACTTTAGAAATGTCAAGAGCATTGGCCTTAACCTCTCCACCTTTATCTAATGCACGATAAAACATATCGGTTATTACTGTTAGCAAATCAGCCGTAGAACAAGAAGATCAAAATCCATATTGATGATCATAAAGTAAGTTATTAGATTCAAGATAAGAAATTAAGTGTTTGTGAATTAAAGATTCAAAAACCTTTCTTATGATAGGAAGAAGACTAATGGGACGTTAGACAAAGTTAGACAAATCAGGTCGCTCTCCAGAATTTTTGAAAATAAAAATAACAGATGCTGCTTTCCAGCAGGCTGGAAAACAAGGCTCTGATAAGCATTTGTTGAATAGTTTTGAAAGGATAGGCGACAGCTCCAGAGTACACTTCTGCAAGACTATAACAGCTATGTTGTCTGAGCCACATACTGTAAAAGAGTCTAAGCAGGAAATTACTTTAGATACAAAAGCTGGAGTGATACGAATGTCAAGCAATGGATCAACCTGTTTGATGGCTATATCAGGTAGAATTCAACTAATGGAATAAAGAGACAGGGCTTGGTCAATATGATCAGAAATAACATCAAGAAGAGTGCAGTCTTGAGATAAGGGAGAGCGATATAGAACAAAGAGAAAGGTGATAGAGTGAAGTGGTGCTAAACAAAAGCACATAGAAGAATAGTCTGTGGATTCAAATCTAGTTTCCTAATGAATGGGTGAACTCTTACAAATGTAAATGCCTAGGCCAAGCATGTGACTTTTGGAGTTTTTACAAGAGGAGACAGCTGAATTCAAATTTGTTTTACAAAGAACAAGTAGGTCTGATGAACTTTGCAAGAGATAAGACTCAAGAGAAGAAAAGCTACTTTGAAGACCACAATTATTAGTGAATGATAGGTTTAGCGAACTTGGTGATGACAGTGGATTTTTACGTTTTATAGTTTTTGTTAATTTATTCATTTTTAAATTTGTTAAAGAACTGGACTTGAAACATAGATAGTACTCAGTACGCTGTTTAATAGCCAAAGCAATTGCCTCACTACTATTAATAAACCATAAGCCGTAACAAAGGGCTCCAATGTGGCCTTGGCAATGCACACCAAAAGTACAAACAGGGACACCATCCACGCACAACATAGCACTGTTAATACTTTGATATTTTTCAGCTGTTGATGGAATCAGCCTCTCTGAGAGCTACCACAGAGTTCGGGAAACCTGACTACCAGCCAGCCTCAGAACCATAAAACTGAGTTTTAGAACTGTACCCCCATTAGGAGATAATAGAATCAGTCGCCTAGTCATAAAAACAGAGACACAAGCAAAACCCATGCATTGAGTCAATAAGATCCAGCATTCAACATCCTAAACTGGAAACAATGTGTTAAAAATACATCTGCGCCAGCCTAATAGATGAAAAGAGGCCTTTTCATTACATTTAAAATTATTTTAGAATTAATTAGAACTATTTTAGAATTATTTAGAATTATTTTAGAATTATTTAGAATTATTTTAGAATTAATTTAGAATTAGTTAGAAGCAGAGTCCTTTTCAAAGGAAAAGGCCTCTGCTTCTAAAAGTTTTTTTGAGAGAGTCTAACACGCAATTGGCTCTTACTGCTGCCATTTCGACATGATGTTTTATTTTCAAATCATGTGAAACAAGTATTCTCAGATTTTGGTGCTTTCAGGTATTTTCTTGTTTCTTAACTGATCAAACATTGTGTAGTTTTGAGTTGAATTGTTAATTAAGCATCCAACATGTATCACTTTGCATTTTTCTTCGTTCAACTCCATTAGCCATTTTTTAGACTAACATGCTACTTCGTCTATGACATTTTGTAATAATAAAACTTCTGCCTTGCTCTAAATTATGCATAAAATCTTGCTGTTGTCAGCATATATCTTAATTTAGTGTGCTAAATTGTCCTGTAGATTATTTATATAAAGTATAAATAATAGAGGTCCTAGCACTGAACCCTGTGGAACACCAGTTGTGACTTTCTTCCGATCTGATTTATAATTATCGATTGTTACCCTTTATTGTCGGTTTGCTAGCCAGTTAGTTATCCACACGAGTAGAGTATATGAGTAGAGCATATGCTTTAAGCTTTTATAGGAGCCGTTTGTGCAATACTTTGTCAAATGCTTTTGCAAAATCAGTATAGATTACATCTATAACAAAATCTAGGGAAATTGCGTTTGTTAATATGCTTCATTAGGATATTGTGAACAAAACTCTCCATTAGTTTTCAAGGGATATATGTGAGAGATACCGGCCAATAGTTAGTTTTTTTTTGTTTGCTCCCTTTTTTTAAAATAGGTGTGACGTTTAATTTTCTACATAATTCAAGTATTTGATTTTCAGCAAAAGACTTTTAGAATATGAGTGTGAGTGGCACAGCAAAAGCAGAGGAACAGTTTTTTAACACCTGAGGGTGCACTCCTTTGTAACCTTTAGATTTTGATTCGACCTGGGTTTCAAGTTTTTTTTTGGATATCTGATTGTTTTATTGAGAATTCATTCATTTTCCGTTCAATTTTGCCTTGATTATTGAGAACTCATTCATTTTGCATTCCATTTCTGTTCAAAGTTTGCATTAAATATATGAATAGAATATTTCAGATATTTTAAGCTTATAATATATGCTATAAATTAGTTATGTTTTATTAAATGATTATTATTCTTATTAAGAATAATAATCATTAATAAAATTATTAATAAAATTATTTTATTATTATAAAAGTTTAATTAACAGCATTTATTTGCTAAACTTTTCATCAGGTACAAATATTCTTGAAAATCTTATTTCAGAAAATTTAATTATTTTATTATATTATATTGTAAAACATCTGTTGCTTATTTTATTTTATTTTTTAAATTAAAAAAATTGCATAAAAGATTAGCTTTATTGAGTTAATTTGAAAATTGAAATTGTTTAATGAAAAACTTTTTATTTATAATTTTGGTAGTTTCTTGATTGTAATGTTAAGAGACAGGTTTTGATGTAAAATACTTGCCACATTAATATAAATTGGGAAATACTAAATTAAATGTTTTTTTAGCGCGCACTGAAACACATTGACAATTTTAATTGCCCTCTGTCTTGAATTTTGCCATAAAAAATTAATTATTGCTTTAATTAATAAAAAGTTGTCTGTAAATTTGTTAAGTTTAAATTCTAATTAAACTTTTAAACTAAAAATTAAAGAATATGGCAAATATCTCTAATAAATGATGTCATTTACTAAAATTATTTATTAATTAAAAGTTTAAAAAATGGACAATAGGACAACAAAAGTTAGAAACAAATTTCACATTCAATTTTTCTAAAAAAAAATCCTACAATGACATCATTTTTAATAGTGAAATTCTTTGTAGTTAAATGCAATCAGATTAATTATAAAGTCTGTAGATTGCTGTGTATATTTTAACGATGTGAAAGCACACGCTAACATGGAGAAGACAAGCTTTGAGAAAAACTGCAAAAATAGTTTTCCTTGGTATGCATTTATTATTTTGTTAAACTCGAAAAAATTCAACCCAAAAATTTTTTTTAAACATTCTCTTTGAATTGAACACAACTTGTCTTAGCACTTTGGGAACCCTTTAAGTCCGGCTATTTGCTAACTATTTGCTAAATACTGTATTTAGGAGTCACTTTATCAAAAATTTTTGCTTAAATCAGATTTCTACTTTGAATTGCATGGGTGTAAACTAGCCCTGTGGCGCCCCGTCAATCACGGTTTTCCCAAATGCTCATAAAATTAAAATTCTTAATTTAAAGATGAACAAATACCATTCTCCGAATAAAGTTTCCAAATTAAAGTTTAATAATAATTTTAAAAATAATTTAAAATTAATTATTATTCGAAACTAATAGAAAAATAACATTAAAAAATTCTAATTCATTAATTGCGTAAAACATGAAATCAAATCGCCATTATTGGTATAAAAACACAATTGCACAACTGTGAAAATTGGTTTCTTGGAAAAAACATCATGAGAATTGGGATTTTTGGAGCAATTTTT